CACTGCTGCGGGGCGTATAACCAGCCCGTAAGGGCCCCCCATCTAGCTCTGCCCCTGCAATGCATGTCAGCTGCTCTACTATCCCAAACATGGCCTCTTTTTTCCAGTTGACAGCTATTCAGAATTATAAATAATAATGATAGTAGCTCAATAGTTATAAGAACTCCATAGGTGCCATTTAATGAAGCAAAGGGACCAAAAAATCATCTGGTGAAACCGCAACGTGGATGCTATTGTTTCCGAGCTGCTCCTGAAAGCATCATCGGTCCTCCCTCTTAGCGAGTCGCCGCACATTCGCTGCCCCGTGAGTAGCGGAGGCGGAGGCCTGATTGACGCAGGAACGAGTCAATCTCCTCCGCCCGCGAGTCCCGGTCTCCCTCCCTCCCCTCCTCAACCCCCCGCTGCTGAGGACTGGCTGCACATTCCTCACCCTCCGGATCTCCGTAGGACAGAAGCGCGGCGGCGGAACCAAACGCGCCGAGGACCCGACGGATTTATTCGGCACATGATACTTTCCAAGGGTACGTAAGGTTATTATTAAAGCTTTTATATCATTCGATCATTCCAAACATTCACCCGCCATAAAAAAATAACTTTAATTGAAACAGGATCCAGTGTTTTCTCAGTAAAGTAGGGAAGGGGTCAGCACTGTTCTCACTGCGCTCCTGGTAAAAATAAATACGCGGAAAAACAGGGAATTAATCTACAGGTGAAATAATGTTTAAACATTTCTAATAATTTATTGATTTTTGATTGTTTTGTTGTATTATCCCAGAAATGTGAAGCTCTGGATTTTGGGGTCAAACTATCACTTAAAGGGACTTCATGCGTACATTTAAGAGAATGAGGGAGATCCTCTGGTTACTGTAGGATGAGGAAAGTCTGTGAGCCTGCAGTGAGTCACAGCCTTTCAAATGTTCTCTCGCTTTTACGCGTCCTGCACGAAAATACGCTCAGGTCCACCCCGGAACACTGGTACAATCTGTTCAGCATGCATGTGCAGAGGAGCATGTCTGATGTTTGCACACATGCAGAGCGGCTCCGTTACTTTAGACACAGTGTAACGCGCCTGGTTGGTGCTTCTTATGTAAACTGGACACAGCGCTGCGCTTTATAATCTGTCAAAGTTCAGGATTCCCATCAGTGGAAGATCCATTGATTTATTCAGGGGCAACTTTCAACACGCTTCTTCAAGACAACCGCACTTTCCTGCGTGTTTTATGTAAAGCAAAGGAATGCTGAAGTAGAAAACATATAGATACTGTGCATGTTCTAGTTTAACCAAAGGGAAATAGCTCATAGTACATCCTCTATAGAGATGGTGTTCTGTTTGAGGTGAGGGGAATCTCAAGTTTGGAAATGTGACATTCATACTCAGATCAAAGCATTTCTATTAGAGCTGTGCAATTATCATGATGTATCATGGTAATGTCTGATTTTTGATAATTTATGCAACATGCAAAGGATTGATTAAATTTTGCTCTTGAAGTGCTCTTCAGTACTCCTTTCCACCATTCCAAAAAAGTTAAAAACAAACCTCTGGACTTTGTTTTCAAGTTTTGGTTCCCATCATGGGCGGTTCTAGACAGGGGCCAATGGGGGCTAGTGCCCCTGTACATCATGTCCTGGCCCCTGTACTGAAGACATAATACTAAAAGACATTCTAATGGTGATATGCGCTGGAACAGACATGGTTAATGATAGGTCCTTTGGATCTATTTCAATTTTTTTCTTTACAAAATCTGTTTTACTAATTATGTAACAACAATAAGGTGATAGCTTTAGTGGTGTTGAGATAGGATCCCAGTTTTCATCTGCTAAATGTTTTTTTCAAAACGAATTTTAACTTAAATTAAGTCAAAAATATGTAAAATTCTTAATTTATGAATGTTTATTGATCTAATAAGAAATAGAATTTTAATAATTAAACCTAATTGAATAGAAATGTCACTTCATGCAGTCATCTTAATGTATTTGAATCCCTTGCCCTGTTTTTTTTATTTCATACTTTTCTGTGCCCCCATGAAAACACGCTGGCCCCCTCCTGGCCCCCTGGTACATTTGGTCTAGAACCGCCACTGGTTCACATCCAGGAAGCTTTTCAATTCAAAATGTCAGGAATAGCGTTGAAGCTTTATAGAATGGCACAAAAACGTACTTAATAAATATTTATAAACATAAAAACCGAGCAAGAGTAACCAGTAACGTTTGTTTTAAAAATATAAGGAATAGAAAATACAGATACTTGTGTGAAAATGTAATGAGTAGAAGTCAGAAGTAGGAAAAAAAATTAGTAATGATTAAGTATAGATACCTAAAAAGTGTAAATATCCTCCTGAGACACCTCTGCCACCATATATATATATATATATATATATATATATATATATATATATATATATATATATGTGTGTGTGTGTGTGTAATGTATGTTAGTGGTGGGACAGTTAAAGGTGATAGCTATGCAATACTCCTCCCAGTCAGTAAGTGCTGCACCAGTCATCCAGGTCATAGTCATTCCAATAAAGTTAAAAAGCAATCCGCCTGAATTTTTTTCCAAGTTTGAAGATGTTTTGCTTCCCACTTAGGAATCTTTTTAAATTTAAGATGTCTGGATTAGCGTTAAGTTCCAGGATTTATAGAGTGGCTCAACAAAAGCCTTGTCATGGCTTAGAAAACATGCAAATTTAGCCATAGAAACAGGTCCCCCCCTTAGTCATGGGAGGTGCTGAAGTCATTGTTAGCCTGGAATACCCACTACTGGCCTATGCCTCTGAAAGGGGGGGCGCTAGGGTAACTGTTGGCCTGGCTGACCAGGTGAGATGTGTTGGTCCCCCGCATGGCGAGGAGAATTGAGATAAAGCGGGAAGGAATCAACTCTATCGCTACCACTATCGGGTATTGCAGGCTAACAAAGACCTCAAAGACTCCCCATTACTAAGAGGTGGACCTGTTCTTCCAGTTCAATTTGCATGTTTTCTAAGCCATAACGAGACTTTGTTGGGCTACTCCAAAAAGCCTGGAACTCAACGCTATTCCACACATTTTGACTTGAAAATGCCTCCTGGGTCGGAAGCGAAAAGTCTTCAAACTTGGACAACAAAATCCATCGGGTTGTTTTTTTTTTTAACTTTTTTGGAATGAAGAAAAAGGTAGCTATGACCTTAAATATAACTAAACAACTTTAGTAGATTTACTGGTTCTGCTGATGTTTGATCCTCAGAACAGTATTAGTTTTTATGAAGTCAGAAAATATTAAATACCATTTGTGGTCATTTTTACCATTATTGTAATAAGGTCAATACAGTAGCATAAGAAAAACTGAATTTAAATGTGATCATAGGTATCTTTATATAGGAAAAAACAAGGAATGAAGTGAAGTTTTGGCAGTACTGGAAACTTATGTGGAATAAGGGAACCTAAGAAACTACAGGGGCTTGCTGTACCATTAGGCCGTTAGCTTAATAATTTTTTCTGTATGGCCACATCTATTATGAAGTAAATTCTTACCTGATTGTGTCTATTAATTACTGTAGGTCAATGTTGGGTCGAGGTGTGAAGCGGAAGTGGAGCTGCCTGGAGGAGCTGGAGGCAGATGAGCTCCCTAATGCTCTAGTGATGGAGGAGAAAAAGCAGAACGGGGAAGAGGACAAAGAACAACGGTCAAGCATGAGCCACCTGCAGCAGCGCCAGCTGGTGTTCAGCCTCTGCTTGCAGAAGCTGCAGCACTACCAGGCCGGCATGGAGCTCAGCCTGCATCGCTCTGTGCTACTCATCAACACCCTCAGGCAGATTCAGGAGGAAATGCGGAGCGACGGGAGCGACGTACGGCTCCACGGCGTAAACCCTGATGCATGTCTTCTCAGGGGTGATTTCGAGTCGGTAACGTGTCCAGGGTGTGCAGAGGGAGATGGAGAAAGCCTGTCTCTATCCGCAGACATGCCCTCTCAGGAGGCAAACGGCTCCACAGACCTGCAGAAATCTCCCCCCAACACTGCCAGTAACACGTTTAGTGATGCAGGAAATACCATGGGCTACCTAAGTGACCTTCCCCTGGACGATATCTTTGAGGACATTGACACATCCATGTATGAGACTTCAGATCTGCCTTCTGCTTGGGGAGCTGCTGGCTCTTTGTGGCCGGTCAGTGTGTCATTTTGGCCCGATGAGGACATTAAGTCACGTTCCTCAGCAGGAAGCCTCCAGTCGTGTCTGCTGGACCTGAATGAACTGGACCACATCATGGAGATTCTAGTAAAGTCCTGATCTCTAGGAATAAAAACTGGACAGTGACTGCAGCTGGTTGATCAGGAGTACAAGGAAGCCTGTCTGAATAAGGCCGACTGGTAAACCATGACATCATGCTGGATGTTTCATGCTCCATGTGACCACCACAGAACATGTGCAGACATGAAGATGAATAGCGCCCTAATATTATTACTTTTTCCTCTTTAACAAAAAACTGAATATGCACTTAAACATGTGCCTCAAGGTAGACAAAAATATTTATTAAAATCTAATTTATAAATAAATATATAGATGTAATCACCTAGAGTTCCAACAGCAGTCGATAATATTGCTTTCAGCGATGTTCCTTTTTGTTTTGCATGATGGGAATTATTTCTCAAAGATCTAAACAGGTTTCCTCATGTGGAGGAAAACTGCAGTTGCCTTCTTTTTAGCCAACAGTGTTAAGAAACCAGCAGCTTTAAAAGAACATTAAATCAAACGAATGTTAGGATCTAAAACATTTTAGAATTTTAAAGTTAGTATCTGGTACACACTAACCAAGAGGTAAAAATAAACCACATATATTTTTAAATGTTTACAGAGATGGTTTTAATTTATCACACAACAGATGAACATATTTAAAGATGAATTTATCCGTAAAGTGATACTTTATGTAGCAAGCAGAAAATATGTTCAGAAGGTCTGAATGACCCATGAGGCTTTTAGAATTGAATCAAAATCTTTGTCTTCAACACAGATTGTTTAGCAGAGATCATGCCAGGTTCATGTTCCCTCAGTATTGTAACATTTTTACCTTCAATCTATCTTCTGGTCAACCTCTTTGCATGAAAAGATGGCTATGGAAGAAGGAACCTGAGCTGCCATGAAGGGTGCGTCACTCAGTCCTGGTTGATAATTAATTAAAGTCCCTTCGGTTTCTTCAGAGACCAGACTTCCACCTGCCAAGAGGGCAAAGACCTCGGTTTCTCTTTAGTAACGGGACAATAAGTTATTTTTACGGAGTACCAAAAGTGCCAAAATATAGTTTAAAATAAAATCATTCATGTTTGTATATACATCGAGTTAACTATTTAATTAGAAAGAAAATTCTTCTAAATAGATGCATTTGTATAAAAATATATTAAATATATAATTTAAATACTTATTTAATTCATGAATTAAAAGACTTGGTAGTCTTTTATTTATATATATTGTCTTTGTTTACTGTTTTCATCTATGCTGTAATTCACCAAATAGTTAAATAATTGAATCTATACTCATCATCAAATTAAACTTTATTTTTAATCATGCCCAATGCCTGAAAAGATTAAGGTTGACAGATACAACTGAATAAAAAATAATTCTATTAATTGAATATTTAATAAATTATTTGATTAATTCAGATTTTAATTAGTGATTTATTTATTTATCTAATTTGGACACTTTTGAACCTCAATTTTTCCACATCAACCAGGGCCTTTTAACAAAGATGAACTGTGTTGTTGAGTATTTTACTTATGTCCTGTGGTTAAACGAAGAGCAGATGCTTTGCCTCCAATTTATGGATGATTTTTATTTTTTTTTTAAAGCAAACAGGAACTTCTGTGTTGTATATAAAGGGTAAATCTATGTACTTGTTAGAATGTTTTAAACTAAAGTTTTTATGTATGATTGATAAACCGGCCTCAAACTGCAATACATGTGAGAGTTTATAGTGAGTTTAACTTATAATGTTTATTTTATCATTTTTTTGTCGGTATGTTTTGATAGAATGGCTGCTGTTGACACAAATGCACCGTTTGTGACGTCAAAGAGGAATCGACAGCTTACCGTTGTTGTGGCAGCTCGTGTCTTTCATAAATCCAGCTTTACATGAAAGAAGCGCAAAAACATGTACCTTTTTTTTTTTTTTTTTTAAAGAGATAAATGTAATCCCAGCTGTGGCTGACAAAAGGAAACTTTGCCATGTCCTAAAATTGTAAATGACAGCATATGCCTATGTACTTTTAAGGCCCTGATGGTTTGCTCTTTTGGTATTCCTGTGCTGGGATGGGTTTCTAAAAGGTTTTGCAGTCGTTTCTACCTGCAGCTGCAATTATTTTCGATCTAGGGAGCGAATCATGAGCTTAACCCTCACTGTTTGGGGTTTTACTCCTTCTCTACCTCGTGTTTGTTGCTAGTTTACCTGGACACTCCTGCTTTACATGTGCTTTACTCCCAGAGCCATACGCCGTTAGGCACGGACTTTGTTGAACTCAGCTCTTTGCTCTCCGACCAAAGTAATCCGCCTCCATCTCGTGTGGAAAATGTGCCTTACTACTGAACTGAGCATGTTATTTGTGCAAAGCTTTTTGTGGCTGTCTTCTGCTTCACTGTGGAGAAACCTGAGATGGGCTGTGAGTTGTTATGTAAAGCACTCAAAAGCAAGGACTTTTTTTCTTCTCACTCCTTGGCCATTTTCTGCACTCGCTGGATACTACAGGCATATGAGCTTAATGCATCCTGACATGCTGATAGAGGACTAGCTGAGAGAGGAGGTGGTACTGAGGGCTGGGAGGGAAAAAAACAAGAGGGGGAGGAGGTAGGGAGGAAGCAGTTTACGTCACTGGCTCATTAGGAGGAGTTTGAAGCTTGTTTTGCTCAGACTCTGACCAATGACCAATCACATGAGATGTGTGGCTCTGTACAGGCATACAGTGGGCATCACTGTAGCCTGTGAAAATAGTCTTTCTGCTTTCTTAACTTATCATAATGAACACAAAATATCAGGCAGTAGTTCTATCATTATTTATGATGGACTCTGAGTACATGATGTCACAAGAATCTGTAAAGAGCAAGCTGTATTTTCATGTTGATCATGTAAATGTAACTGAAGGAAGTATTTTGGCTCTACAATATAATCCTTTATGTATTTTTGTGGATTTTTAAAAAATACAATAAAAATCCCTAAATTTCTTTTGTGTCGACTGTTTTCATATAATATGAGCAATTGTGATTTATTGGTTTATTTAGCAAGGATGTTTCACTTTGAATAATTTGATGATGATGGTTTTCTTCCTGAAAAGATGTTTCTTATGAAAACCTAAAACACATTTCTTTAAATGGGAAATCCTAATGAGAGAAAAAAAATTTTTTTCAGTGACCGTTAAGTTTCCCAGGGGTAAATGTGTGTATTTTTATTTATTTATTTAGCAAAATGTGCTTGTCAACCCCAGAACAAAAGATAGGCATGCAAACCAGTGTCATGACTCATATTAGCCACTAGGGGACGCCTGCAAGTCATAGAGCCCCATCCCAACTGTGGAATGCAGGAATATGGCACCATGTGAGGGAATTTTTGGTGCAAGAGGGACTGGTGCATAACACACTATGCATGCTGAATAAACACAAAAGCAACGAGAAGTATATTTAACTATACATGCATAGATATGAGGATAGATATATACTTATATCCATCAATTTATAGTATATACTTATACATATATAACTGTATTTGTGTGTATATGCTAGACATTACAATCCCCTTAAACATAAATGTGTGAGTATATATATATATATATATATATATATATATATATATATATATATATATATATATAT